AGGGTGAGGCGCTGCTACGGGACGTGGGAGACCCCCTTTCCCAAGGGCTCAGGGCTTTTGGCCCCACTTTTCTAAGAGCAGGCCAGAAACATGCAGGGACAGCATGGGAGAACTCTTCCCTTTGGTAACTCTCACCACTTCTGAGCGTCCAAACAGCTCCTGGGTGCAAAGGGAAAGTGCAATCTCCAACAAATATCTCCTTATTGTCAGATTCAGCCGGCGCGGCACGGCTAGGGACTTGCCCAGCCGCGCTTAGTCTGTTTCACCACCTGAGCACCAGCAAAGGAAAAGGGGAAGTGAGAAACCACGAACTGATTAATGGGCCAGCTGGACCACTTTGCTAAACCACAAGCGTATACTTTGTGTCAATGCCAATTTGCCTTGAGCGCTGAAGACAAAGGAGTGAGCAGCGGCTCGGAGCAAAGCAATCAGCACGTGATTGAGAACTCCCGGCTTTGCACGCAACAGAAAGACCCAACAAAGACAACGACCACGCCATCGGGGTAAAGCAATCAAGAAACAAAAGAATTGGACTGAATCTGCCATTTAGGTGAAGGGGGGGATTACTGGGGGTAATTTGTACCCAAGCAACGGAGCAAAGCACGGGAACGGGGGGACTATAAATTGTGCTGTAAGATGTGCCAAGCCAGTCCTGGCTTTGTCTGTAATTACATCCATTACGCTTGAGTAAACTTTTTTGCTGAACACACGTGTCATGAGCGTTTCTCTGAGTCGAACGGGGTAAACCTTACACTTATTATTGAAGCCTTTAAGCAAGAGCCTCATTGTTAAAGCCAGACTTGGTGTCCTAAGTACCTTTGTTCAGCACCGTCATAACTTCGAATGGTCGCTGAACGACTGGTCTTTAACCAAGGACTACCTGTAATAGATTTGCTGTTTTCCACCTGTACTTGATTCTTCTATCTCTGTCATCTATCTTTTATATTCTTTAAAAATATAAAGCAATAAAAAAAATTGTGGGGGGGGGGAGGAGAGAAAAAAGAATTGACTGACTTGGGATTCAGCTGAAACTGAATCATAAGCTATTCATTCAGGCAGATAAACAGTACCCTTTTTAGCCTTCTAAAGTACTGGATTTCTCCAGTACTTTTTGGAAGGGGAGGGTTTCATTTGCAAAGTTGGAAGTGAACTGAATTCACCTTAAAGAGCAAATGAATCTTTCAGAAGAAGTTAAGTTCCATTAGGAATTAGGATTCCTCTGCATGAAATGACAGATATGTTCTCATCTAAGTTCAGTTCAACTTTATTGATTTAGTCTATTGACCATACCAAGTACAAAGGGAATAAGATAAAATAAAATAAATGCCATTATAAACATACAAATAAGAATTAATAAAAATATAAATATAACTAAAACCATAATATAAGTTCATGTCAAGCCATCACCCCTGCAGTCAACACCAATCTCCTCTAAATAATCTGCCCTCTTTATAACTGCCTTTGATATAAAGAGTGCAGTCTTACTGGTGATGCAGAGGTTCTTGCTCTGTAAAAAGTAGGAAAGTTTCTGCTGGCCGCTCCGATATTTTTTAATTTTTAAATATAAATCTAAATGGTCAGTCCTCTCTACTGAAT